CCCGCCAGCAGCTCGTCCCACGAGCCCGAGTCGCACGAGCCCGAGTCGCACGAGTCAGGCAAGGGCGAGGGCATGCGTGAGGATGTCGCGCGTGTTGCCCAGGCCCATTCTACCAGCTCGGCCAAGCGGATATTGGTGATGTCGCTGTGGGTGGCAACCGCCGGGTGGCCACTGATTTCGATCCATTGATGGCTACAGCTTCTGCCGAGTCGACTGCCTCCGCCCAGCTGCCCAAGTCATCGGCCAGCCTAGCCACCACCGCAACTGCCTCTGCCGAGTCATCGGCCAGCCTGGCCACCACTGCGACAGCCTCTGTCGAGTCAGCGGCAGACAGCACCAGCGCATCGGCGCAGGGGACCAAACGCCGCAAGATGCACGTGGTGCGTGTCTATCAGGTGAAGAAGAAGAGCGCTGGGTCCTCGTCGGTCTCTGCTGAGACGAGCAAGGCCGAAATGCGCAAGCGTGATGAGGGCATGGACAAGGCCGACTTCACCATCACCATGCCAAACCGGTCTGCAGCAGCCCTGGGCGCCGACGAGTACCAGCCAACAAACGGAGTTCACCAGAAGGTGCGTGCGGCTGAGGACTCGGAGTCTGATGAAGAGGAGGGTGCGAGGAGGACGTTAGATCGACCGAGAGGCCCGATGTCGATATTGGAAGGCACCGAGTCCAAGAACGAGATCGCGGAGACTATGTCTGCAATCAGGTCGATTCTCTCGCTGATCTCCATGCAGACCTCCACTGCTGCTCCACAGACCTCCACGACAGTCCCGCAGGCTGCTCTTTGAACGCTCAGTCGTCATCGATGACTATTGTTGCTGATGACCTGAGCTCGGCCTCTCTTGAGTCCACCTCGGTCGTTTCTGCTGAGTCCACCTCGGCTATTTCTGCTGAGTCCACCTCGGCTGCCTCTGTTCAGTCCTCTTCGGCTGCCTCTGCTGAGTCTTCCTCGGCAGTCTCTGTTGAATCCACCTCTGCAGTCTCTGCCGAGTCTTCATCAGCCGTGTCTGCTGAGCTCTCTACCGCTAGCGTGCAGCCTTCGTCTGCCAGTGACGAGACATCAACCCAGTTGATTGAGATCGAGGAGTTCAGCGACGGCTTCAGCGACGGCTTCACCGATGGCGCCAGCGATGAGGAAATTGTCAAGGAGGAGCGTGACGAGAAGGGCGAAGAGGAAGATGAGGAGAAGGACGAGGAGAAAGAGAAGGACGAGGAAAGGACGAGGAGAAGGAGAAGGAGAAGGACTCAGACAAGGAGTCCGACAACGACTCCGACAAGGATTCTGACAAGGATTCTGATAAGGATTCTGACTCAGAGGACGAAGACAGTGCGAGCAAGAAGGAGAGCAAGGAGGACGATTCGGCTCCGACAGCGACTCTGGACACTGACGACAAGGTCTCCAAGAAATCACAAGACAGCGATGATGAGTCCACGGCCGTGCATGGCGACAATGACGACGCTGAGCGGGTCGAGCACAAGGACGACGATGACTCGCACGTCATGCGTGCAGTCCAGCGCCTGGCAGCTGCCGGCCTCAAGCAGGCCGAGCGCGCAGTCAAGGAGCTCGAGCTTGATATGGCTACCGATAGCCTGGCTGCCGAGATCTTCACCATCCCGGGCGTCCACGTCGTCACTCGCACCATGGACGATCTTGATGAAGAGGAGATCATGGGCTTCTCCACCACATCGATTCTCGGCGCCCAGCAGGACCTCACCCTGGCTCCCACCCATGCTCCGCTGTCGTCTCGTGTCTCCATAACCGCCAATAAGCGCGGCTTGGTCCTAGAGGCTGACATGGCCAGCGGCAAGGTGCGCGAGGAGGCCGACAAGGACGAGGACGCTGATGATGACAAGGATGCCGACGATGATAAGGACAATGACAATGACAAGGCCGATGGCAAAGAGAAGGAGGACGACGACGATGATGACAAGGATGAGGAAGATGACAGCGACAACAGCGATGAGGGCGACAAGGAGAGCGATGCCCCCGACACCTCCTCCCAGCCAGCCTTGCCCAAGGCCAGCGCCGACGACCGTGATGAGGCGGACTCGTCAAAGAGCAACGACTCTGACGACGAGGACGAGAAGAGCCCGGCCAGCTCCAAGGGCAGCAAGTCCCCCGAGGGCGACTCCGACTCGGACGACGAGGAGGCTGACGGCGATATTCAGTCCGACGCTCCCTCAGGTGCCATCGGCAGCAGGGCGAACAAGAAGTCCATGAGCATCGATGACGAGGCTGCCGAGTCCGAGGCTGCCAAGAGGGCCGAAGCCGAGGCTGCTGCCGAGTCCAGCCAGCAGGCTGTCGAGGTTATTATCACCCAGATCGAGACTGTCACCGAGGTCAATGCATCGGCTATGTGGAGCGACAGCGACTTTGAGCGCAATGCTGCTACTGATGCGTTTTCCGACGACTTCAGCGATGTCGGCAACCTTGGTGAATCGGATGGCGCTGTGGCTTCCGACGATGCCGTGGCCGATGCTACACACACTGCTGCGTCCATCGAGTCTGCCAGTCCGACCGTTGACCTCAACTCCGACGCCGAGGGCATGGATCTTGTGACCCAGCTTGTCCATGAGGCTTCTGATGCCAAGTCTGACGTAAACGAGGCCCCGAGTATCGTTGTCCTGGCATCCATTGACGAGGAGTATGAGGAGGAGTTCTTCAGCGATGCCAGTGTGCGTACCCCGTCATCGCAGCACTCGGCTGAAAGTGATGCGACCGAGTTTGATGTCCCGCATGTCATGCGGAACTCGGCCGAGAAGATCAGGGGAATTGACAAGGATGCCGCGCCCGAGAAGGACGAGAGCGGTATCCGGGGTATCGAGCCGATTCCCGATGTCAGTGCCATCAAGGAGAATCAGAACCGCGCCATGAACATTGGTTTGGGAAACCTCCACCGCCATGTTTAAGCGCATCTTCTGCCAATCTCTAACCAACCACCACCCCTGACTTTGCTCTTGACGACCAAGCCAAACCTGTGCATTACCTTTCTTTTGCAAGCCCCTTTCCAACCACACCCCTCACCACTGCATTACGACCTTCCCCTTTTTGCACCACTCCCTCAAGTTCCCGCTTACCAACCTTTGCCCTGTGCTGCACGGGCGTCTTTGCTGCATCTGCATCTGCATTCTGTTTGACACTCTCAAACCAGGGTGTTGCTCATTGTCAAGCATGTCCAATAACGACCACTTCATTTCATATTGACAAACTCCCATTTCTGGTCCAGAAATGCTTTCTTTTTCATTTACTTCTTTTCTGCTATCATACGAATAACAAGGCATATAATATTACTGTGGACTATCTTTATCTTTACCTATATATAAGATTATATAGTCCAAAAAGTGTCCGACCGTCCGCTAGAACCTTTTTATTAGTTAAAAGATAAAACTCTTTTAACCTCAAAACGAGTTTGGGCGACTTGCTCCGTAAACTCCTTTTTGATCCTGTGCAGCATCTGACCTCATCGGTGAAACCAGGGTGACAAGCTGGTATTGTAGTAGTCCCAGGTCTCCACTAGATATCTCCATTGGTTCAGCGCAAGAGCTGCTCTCATTGTCGGTCGGCCTGATAACTTCCATGGCATCATCATGGTGGTCATCACCGGCTGCGCAACGCTCTTAGGATATTTATTTATGAGCATCTATTGAATATGGCCATATAGCTCTTCTAGCGGTCATGCAATATTTGTACACCTTCACAGAAGCTCCGCCAGGCAGTTGCCTCTAGGCACCCTAATCTCAGTGTGCTCACCCACCGATGCTTGCAATCTACAACAAGCTGGCACCAGTCCTCAATGCCTATGATGCCAAGTACAGATTTGCCAAAGACAGCCGATACTATGATGCCAAGGTAAATCCACTTCAGCATCTGCGTGCATACATTCACCTATGCCAGCTTATCGAGAATGAGCAGCTTGGCAAGTCTCCCCCCCCCCAATGCTTGACTCTGCGGACATCATGGATCCCAGGCCATGTGCGCTTAGACAAGCAAATAATCAAGCAGGTGTTTATTTCGAAAACACATGAGCAGGTTACCAAGATCAACGCAGCAAAGAAGGCAGCAACAGAGGCAAGGAAAGCGGCAGAAAGTGGTGAAAATTGGCCAAGAACGCTGCACACGAAGCAGCGAAGATGCCATCAGATGAAACGGAGGCCACTGCAGCAACTGCAGCACTAGCGGCTGATTCACTTGCTGCTGCATCGGCGGCAGCAGATATTCTGGCATGTTCCCAACCCGCGGCCCTACCAGAGATCGAAGAACCCAACTGTGAAGTGCCATGGCCTTCTCCGCTGTACAAGCGAGTCATGTAAGCGGGCCATGGCACAATACAGGCGAGCCTATTCGTCTCGGCTCTTGAACCGCGACCTCGCAGCAGTTCTGAACTTCAGACTCGTTTTCCAGTCACTCTATGATTCAGGCAATATTCCTGAACGGTTCTGTCGTTCTACAGCCATTGCTGCCAATGCTTCCGGTACCACATCTGAAACAAAGAACCTGCGCAAGAGGTGTGCAGTAGCAGCAGGCGATTCTGCTGCCAGTAGCAGCAAACCAGCACTGAAGCGCCTGCGCTGAGCAGGCCAGCAAGATTGGAGATGTCCATGATCGACATTGCACCAACAACCATCTGACACGTTCAAATGATCGGCTCGCCGTGATGCTCTTATCAACGTGTCAACCCATGCTGACTAGCAGCCGAGCTCGCATCGCGAGCAGAGTATTTCTAGTAGTACATGTGTGGCTACGTGCCAGGACTTCAGATGTCATATACCGGTGGCATGTTGTAGCCAATAATCTTGTTGCTACGCTTGCCCGGTATCCGTCCGCCGCCATTTTCAATCTGCGCATGCGGGATAGCGAGTGACCCAGTGATAATTGCAATAATTGCATAGAGGACCTTCATTGTCATTGAGAGGAAAAGATATTCTGAACAACGTGTGCTATGGACTCTACTCCCTTAGCTGTTCCTTATATCTGCCTAGGCAAAGGTGGTCAGACGCCAGAGGTTGGGGGAGGAGGAACTGGGACTAGATAGGCACAATTGAATTGCACCTGGAATGCCTCAATTGAATAGGGATTTTCAACAAAAATTAATACACACAATAGAACCCGCTTCATCGGGGGGTTCGAAAATGTACAATTTATAGGCAATTGCGTCCCTAATTGCACGAATAGGACAGATTCACGGGGGCATTCTCGCTTGTTGGGAAAGCAAATTCGCGCCAACCGACGCTGCGGACCAAACAGAGGAGGGGTGCTGGTCATTGTCACGCTCTGGTATTATGCATACACGCATGGCCAAGCCGCCTAATCCCCACAGATCCCAGGTCTGCTCGTCACCAACCTCTTTGAATTTGATGTCCACATAACAGTAGTGATATGCAGACTAACATAGCATTTCTGCAGCTTGATGGCAATGGTCCGTGTGCTGAGCGGAGTTTTTGCAGCATGCACTAGTTCCGTGGACAGTACGATGCACTGGATTTCAGTCAATCTAGATTTAAGCTTGGGGTGCTTTTCAGCTTACCGAACTTGGACTATGAGCCACTGTGTGAGTGCTAGCTTCTCGGCATTCGCGATAGACCGTGGTCTATTGTGGATCCCACCATGGTTGCCCAGGTCACTGCAATGTGACTATCTTCAGGGCTGCATACCAGGGTACGACCGAAGGCCGATGCAGCCACAGAGGTCCCGTGGCAGTGAAAAGCGGGTACTTTGGACACAGTTGAGGAGGCATATAGTATGATTCCAAGAATCCCCATGTGCCATGCTTATTGCTAGAATGGGCCATCCACATAAAATAGGAGGATAATAGCTTGTAAGATGGTGTGAAATGTGTCTTTTTGCGCAATAACGTGTATAAGGACATTTACCATTGATGCATAGGGCAATTCAGCAGACGTGGCACAGTGGCACAATGTGCGAATGCACAATGTATCTGGATCCCGCTGTTCC